GTATAATTTGTGGAGGGGAAGGGGAAAAACAAATCGTTTAAATAGTGATACAGGTGGACCCATTGCAACAATGAGATGTACAAGTCGTTATGTTGAAAACGAACTTTACAAGTTTGGTGGGGGGGGGAGCAGGGTGGATTGGGTGGGGGGCGGGGGAGGATGGGAAGGGATGAGAAGAGGAAACAAAGGAGGAGGCTACAATGCTTGATAAGAAATATACTCATTATCTTGCTCATGTAACTGTATCCCCTCTGTACAGTATTTTCACAATAAAAAATAAATAAATCAACTCCAAAAAAAGAAGTCCTGCTTCCTCAAGGATATTTATTTCACACAACTAGTGAAAGTCTTTCACAAAAGTTACTCCACTTGTAATAAAATACACTTTGCTGGGTGCTCTTTCAAAAATACTTTTTTGGGTCTTAAATTCTTTCATTTAAATTCTTTAATTTTATTGTAAAGGCGATGTACAGAGGGTTATAGTTACATACATAAGGTAATGAATACATTTCTTGTCAAACATTGTTAACCCCCTCATTGTTTTTCTTCTACTTTTTCTTTCCCTGATTCTCCCCACCCCTCCAAGTTGTAAAGTTCATTTCTAACATAGTGTCTTGTGAGTATTGCTGTTGCATTGGTTCACTCTTTGTCCTTTGTCTCATCATTTTGTTTTCCCCTTCCCTTGTATATACAAGACACAGGGTACTAAAATCAAAAACAGTGTCTTAAATTCTTAAGTCGATTCAATCTTCTTTCTGGTTCAATCATTCTGCTATATTGAGTTAGAAACATTATAAAACATTTGAATATTTATCAATGTTAAGACTATATATTTTTGTGTGCTAACCAATCTAACACACTTTTTCTTATTAGAGAAGCCTGGATTATACAGAGCCGACATTCCTATGTGTTTAAATGATTGCTTGTTTTACTATCGTTTAATATGTCTGCATGGAGAGATAAAATCACCTAAGCTATGTTTTGAACCACCATTTATATTTTTTACTCCTGTTCCATTGGATGTACCAAGTGGAATAGATATCAACATTTTACCTCAAAACTATTTTAGGTAAATACTTCATTTGATTTTAGTCTATCATATGCACAATTTTCTTGGTGTGAGTGTATATGAGAGTTATATGTAAATTTTGATTTGTTTCTATAGTTAGGAAGAGCTATTCATATATTTAATGGTACATTAAGGGTTTGAAGTAACAAAAAACTATTTCAGTTGTATCATAATGTGTTTTCTTGTGTGTCTCTGTGGAATAATAAGCAAGCATTAAATTTAAGTCACATTACCACATATTGGTCTTAAAACATACATTTGATATTTCATACAACATGAAAATTTATCTTCCAATTTTTGAGCAAATTACAAAATAGAAAAACACAAAATACTTTAAACTGCTAGAAGGGTGGATTTCATAAATTGGTAACAATAAAATTGATTGTTATAAATTTGAAACATATTTGTACTTGAGAATAGTGTTGCATGCCTGTAATCCTAATTACTCAGGAAGATCCTAAGTTTGGGGTTGCATAGAAAGACTTAATCTGAAAACAAGTGGCTGACAACAGGATAAATTAATAGAAATGTTCATTAAAAGAATACTTATCTCACAAGAAAAGATTTATGAATGGAAATTAAACATGGTAGGACAGGTAAAACTATTTTGTCAAATTTTCAGTGTACAAGGGTGATTCACCACACTATGTCACATATGCACAATATTACACAATGACTATATTACCCCTTTCTGTTACTCTGTCCATTCCTTGTTTCCCTTAACCCCTATTGTTCAGCAATTTACATTAGGTTGCCTGTACCATCTCCACACATAAAAACAATGGATTTTGGTTTTGTTTATCCCACTATTCTCTTTTCCTTTGTTTCCCACCACTTAGATAGTTCCTTAATTACAGTCATATAGATAGACAGACAGACAGACAGATGGCTAGATAGATATGTGTATATCTATATGTATTTTAGGTCTAGAGCATGCATATGAGAGAACATTTGCAATCTTTGTCCTTTAGGACTTGGCTTAACTTCATTTAAAATGAACTCCAGTCCTATCCATTTACCTGAAAATGTCATAATATGTTGAAAATTCTTTATGAATGAATAATCCTCTTTTGGTTTATATACCACATTTTCTTTATCCATTCATCAGTGAAGGGTACCGAAGCTGATTCCATAGCTTGGTTATTGTAAGTAGTGCTGTAATAAACATGAATGTGCAAATGTCTTTATTATATCCTGACTTAAATTCCTTCAGATATATGCCCAACAGTTGTACTGTCATGTTGTATGGCAATTTTATTTTTAGCATTTGAGGAATCTTCATACTACATTCTATAGTAGCTGCACTAATTACATTCTCACCAATTGTGTATAAGAGTTGCTTCTTTCTTCTCACTCTTAACCAACATTTATTGTGTTTTTAATGACTGCTGTTCTGATTGGGATGAGAGCAAATCAAAATGTCATTCTGATTTGCATTTCTTTTATGGCTAGAAATGCTGATCATTTCTTCATGTGTTTATTGGCCATTAGGACTTCTTTTGAGAGTCGTACATTCGTTTACTTATTTGTTAAGTGGGTAATTTGTTCTTTGGAGTTTAGCTTTTTGAGCTCCTTATATATTCTAGTTTTTAATCCCTTGTCAGATGTATATATAACCAATATTTTCTTGCTTTCTGTATGCTATCTCTACATTCTAGTAACTGTTTCCATTGCTGTGGATAAGCATTTTAGTTTAATACAATCCCATATGTCAATCAATCCTTATTTCAGAGACATTGTAGTTCTATTCATAGGCTATTGTGTATGCCAATATGTTCTAGAAGTTTTCCCTATTCTTTACTGTAGTAGTTTCAGATCTTACATTAAGATTCTTGACAGTAGTACAGGATCAGAGAAAGGTGTCTAGTTTCAGTCTTCTGCATGTAGATATCCAATTTTCCTACAACCATTTGTTAAAGAAGATATCTTTTCTCTAATGAATGCTTTTGAATAGCATGAAATGTGGATATTAATTGGATATTTGAGAATTATGTAAAATTATTTATTGTTTAAACATCCAAATACTTAATATCTAAACCATTACAATTCTAAATATATGTGCATCTATTAATATTTAGTATACAAACACTAAATTTGTAGATATTAAAGTCATGAGTTTTTGATAAATTCTTGTCAGAATATTTCAGAATACTATGGCTATAATTAAAAACACGTTGTAAGTGATTGGGGCATGGCTCAAGTATTAGAGGACTTACCTACCAAGCACAAGGTCTTGGATTCAAAGCCCAGTACTATGATTTTTTTAAGTGTGTTTAATCATATTTTTATCCCCCCTCATCAGCCATGGGTCTTGAACTGAGATCTTGGAACTGCCACTGAGCTTTTTGTTGTTGTTGTTCTCAAGGCTAGCACTCTACCACTTTGAGCCACAGCTCCATTTCCAGTTTTCAGGTGGTTAATTGGAGGTAAGAGTCTCAGACCTTTTCCCCCTGGCTGGCTTCGAACTGCAATCCACAAGCAATTACAAGCAATCACCACCAAAACCCAGCTTTTATTTTTCTTTTTGACTCTTACAGAACAAAAGAAAGATTAGATCGTCTCAACTGCTTCTTGACATAGTTAAATTAACATGTTACCAAAAATTTATGATTAAGACATTACTGCAAATATTTATTGTTCTGACTTTTTTAGATGATTCATCTAATTTCAATTTCTTGCTGGTATTTTGGGCTAACATTTTTTTTTCATTTTAAATAGAAATTCAACAGTACATTTCCAGGTTCCTACAGCCAAGCTTCTTGATGATGATGAAATTCAACCATTTTCTGTGACATTTCCAAAAGGCAGTACCATCACGGGGTCTGATACTGGAATTAATGGGAAAATACCTTGCCACCTCAGTTTCAAATCGTCTAAAGCTGTGTCATTTTTCACTCATCTTGTATTTTCTGATGAGAGAAATAACTGGTAAGATATTTAAGTGTAGATTCTCTTGTATTTGACAATGAAAAATAATAGCTATATATTTTATACCAGTGCAAAAAGTTAAAAGGAGAAGAGTCTTCTATCATGAATTTGGACATAAAGGTTTATTTTAATGTTCAAAGTACAAATTTGGCCGGGCACTGGTGGCTGACGCCTGTAATCCTAGCTATTCAGGAGGCTTAGATCTGAGGATCACGGTTCAAAACCAGCCCAGGCAGGAAAGTCCGTGAGATTCTTGTCTCCAATAAACCACCAAAAACCGGAAGAGCCGCTGTGGCTCAAGCGGTAGAGTGATTGCCTTAAACTGAAGAGCTAAGGGACAGCACCCAGGCCCAGAGTTCAAGCCCCATGACTGACAAAAAAAAATACAAATTCGCTCTCAAGAGAAACAGCAAAATAATGGTTTACAGGAATTATTCTGTCATGGGTTTGTTAGGTTAATTTCTGAGATAATCAGTTTTTTGGTCTGTAAACTTGAATGATATGGGCAAGGGTATCAAGCATTAAAATAGAGCATGAAGTATGAAGGTTCAAGCGGCTTCTTGTTCTGGTGTGTGTGGGCGGGGAAGAGGGTGTATGTGTGCACACATGCGCTGGTACTGTGGCTTGATCTCAGGGCCTCGTGCTCTTGCTTGCTTTTTCTCCTAAGGCTGGTGTTCTTTCACTTGAAGCATACCTTGGCTTCTGGCATGTCCCCTTCCCGCTACCCTCATGCCCCCAGCATGGTTCTGGAGCTTAAACTCAGGCCTGGGTGCTGTCCCTAGCCTCTTTGTGCTCAAGGATAGTACTCTATCACTTGAGTCAGAGAACACTTCTGGCTCTTTCTGAGTAGTTTATTGGAGATGGGTCTCATGGACTTTCCTGCTCAAGCTGGCTTCGAACCGCAATACTCAGATCTCAGCCTCTTGAGTAGGTAGGATTACAGTCGTGAGCCACTGGCATCTGGCTGACTTCTGACTTTTTGTTGGTTAATTTGATAAAGAAGGGAGCTGGGAAGGTGGCTCAGTGGTAGAGTGCTTGCCTTGCATGCACGAGGCCCTGGGTTCGATTCCCCAGCACCACATAAGCAAAAGAAAAAAAGCTGGAAGTGGCACTGTGGCTCAATTGGTAGAGTGCTGGCCTTGAGCTGAAGAGCTGAGGGACAGCGCCCAGGCCCAGAGTTCAGGCCCCACGACCGGATCCAAAAAAAAAATTTTTTTTGATAAAGGAGTCATATACACTTTTCAGCACAGGCTGATATTGAACTTTTCTCCTCAAATCTCAGTCGCTTGAATTGCTAGGATTATAGGCTTATATAAGCCACAGGCACTCAAATTAATTACAATTTGATTTGATGCATACTGATAAACAGAGGTATGAGATGATGCAGAAGGGCAAGAGTAGAATCTTAACACAATTTTTATGATATGCATACTTTTTAATATTAGTACTATCATGTACCATACATGAACTTTTCAAAGAATAAAAGCAGTCTGTTCTTTTTCCTTTTTGTCCTCTCTATTATTTCTTTCTCACTTATATACAGTAGGCAAATGAAAATTCAATGTTTGATTTATAGTAATTAGAATCAACTCTATAAACAGGAATATCATTCATTTTAATTGATATATTAATGAGACAAAAATGCATGAATTTTCTACCTTAAATCAATTGAATGCATATGAATTTATTGCAAAAGGTTGCATTACCAGCAACTATAGGATATTTTTATAGTAAATTTATAATATATTGATACTTATAAATATATTAAGTCAAATATTTCAAATTAATATTTGTAGACAACAGCAACATCTTTTAAGTTAAGAAATGTATTGCATTGATATTCAATATTAATGCAGCTGTTAAAGAGCTTCATTGAAATTGTATATTATACATCAATGAAATTTCAAAATAAAAACCTAATTTAAACATTATTTAAAATATAAAGTTAGATGTTTAATTTTTTCTACAAAATTCAGACACATTCTACTAGAACAAAGCATATATTTTGGTAGAGTTTGTATAAAATAATTTAAGTTCTATTAGAAATGGTTTTTGCATGAGCCAAATGATGAAATAACTCTCACTGCTGCTTTACAAATAAGCTCCCATTCTAGTTTATATTATTATTTTCCTATTTCCTCATCAACTCCTATTTTTCAATCTGGTTGATTTTTACTTTTGGCATATGAAGTCACATATTGGGATGAGGGAAGAGGGAGGAAGAACAAGAGAAAGAAAAATGTATATATGAGTTCTTTATTCGTCAGAGTTATTTTACTTATGAGTATCTGAAATATGTTTCTTTTATTTTTTTCCTGGGTTTGAAAATTTTGTGTTTGGATTTTATTTGCTGTGAAATTTACTTTAAGGATATTTACCTTAAAGCTATTTATAGCCATGAATCTTAAACAAATAATATGGCGGAATTAGGGGAATGGATTGAGAAATATACATTTGAATAGGGCATGAGAAATTCCCACAAATAAGTAATATTTGTTGGAACCTTTCTAAGAAATATTAAAGAGAAGATATTAATTGATTGTTGGAAAAATAATTGAAGTTTCTAATGACTATTGGTTATTCCCAATGTCTCTTTAAAATCTAAGTCATCATTATAAAACAAGGATAGGGTATAGTTTTTGAAATTATGCCTGATATTACAGTTGCTTTGGATATATTAATAAATATTTAAATTGCAGCTGGATAATAAGCACATACTAGTACTCAATTCAGCCCAACCCATAGTCACATTTCCTACTCAGTTATCTAAATCTTTCTAATACTATTCTCAGTTAGCAATTTGTTATCCTGGATAAATTTTTAAGCATCAATTCATCAAATATATCCTGAATACATACCATGTGCTCTACATTGTTCTAAGCACTAGTGATTATATCAGAAGTCAAAATATGATCACTGCTTATATAACTGAGAGTCTATTGGGGGAAACAGATGACAAACAGTAAATCCTAAGAGGCAAATTTTCTAACATAAGTTATAGAAACCATAGGGAAAAGGAAGACAGTAGAGTAAGATCAGGAGGACTGTCAATAACAGTAGCAAACAGGGAGTAGTTGACATGTGGTGATAAAGAGAGATTTCTTTACGAGCATTGGATGTGGTAAAAAGATGTGAAAAGGAAGTAAGATCGGAAAGACAGCTGGGTAAGTCCTTAGGGTTTGGAATAGCTGATATGATGTCATCAAGCTTTCCATAAGAGGGATGAGGAAAGAACGAGGAATATAAGAGAAAGCTTTAGTAAAGTGATGTAATAAATGCATAGTGCAGAGGATTTGACGCTAAATCATAATAGAATATAAAAGTCATCACCTTTGAAAAATGACAAGGTCAGCTAGTTTTCTCCTACACAGAAAACCCTCACAAAAACAAACAAAGCAAAACAAAAATCAGTTCTTCCAGTCGAGCTTTTTCCCTTTAATCATGTAACAGCTTCTTTACTGTCAGGTAGATATTTTTCTCATCCATTTAAGCCATTTAGTCTTTACTGAACAATAACTGTATGCCTGATTTTCTTTTGATATTGATGTAACCCCAAAGCTTGTGTCCTTATGGAATTACCGCTATCGTTGAGAAAGAAATTAACAAGTTATATAATGTATAATCTTACTAGGAAATAAATTAAATACTTCCATGTGTTAGACAGATAAAGAATTTCAGAGGATGTGATATTTGAGCAGATGGTCATTGTAGAATTAGATGAGAAAATGTTCATAAAAGGCTTAGAATAATCTCTGGCATGTCGCCGTAACTGAATCATATTTTAGAATTTACCTTAAGTTTAGATTGGTATTCTAGCTTTCCAAAATGATCACAATAGATAGTATAAAGATATAGGCATTCTACAATTAAAAGAGGTATCAAGTATTTCTTGGGCAAATGGTTGTTTTTCATAGAGACGGAGTTTGTAATGGGAAGGGAACAGTGGCAGGGATTGGAATTCACTTGTTGTGGGGGTGAAAATTGCTTTGGATAATGTCAAAATTATTTACATTGAATTTTAGAATTGATGTTTCTTCTTATGTTTAAATGTCTCTGTTAAAAGAATTCACACAGAGATCAGAAAGTTTGAGCTGTGCCAGAATATTGAAATTCCTTATTTTGAACCACAGTTTCTACTCCAAGCTGAGAGAAAACATTACATCTAGTAGAATCTTGTAATTATAATGAAATAGGGCTATTTGCTCTTATTTTATAAGATACAGCCTGCCTGGTACTTTAGATAAACCTGAACAAGAATAAAAGTTGTAGCTTTGTTGTTTAATTTCACAGGAATTTTAATACCAAATCACATTTTGCTTTAACATCCAACTTAAGATGTTTCTTAGAATAAGTTGCATATACATGATCTGAATAAACAAGGAGTTAACATGGGTTAGCAGTTTCTCATTAAGCAAATAACAAACATAATTTGAAATTTCACAATTAAGGTTGAAATATGTTAGAACTCTGAGTCTTCATACATTTTAATCCCACATTTTTTCTATTATTTTCAAAATTAACTATATCTTTACTTGGTTTTAGTACCTAGATTTAGACTGAATAACATTGAGTAACTTTAGAGTGAAAGAACATCAGCTATTCTATAAGAGAACTGATATTGGTAATTGAAAATTAAAATGTAATATAATGGACATAAACAGAAATTACATCTGCTAAGTAAACTTTGGTTACTGATTAGATATTGGCATTTTCCTCATTCTCATGCAGTGATTTTCAACATTGACTGGGCATCAAAACACTTGGAAGGTTTTAGTTTGTAGATGCCTTCTTATCACTGGGATCTGAGATAGTTTATCTGGTAGTTGACCTGGGCATGGTGAGTTTAAATCCTTGAAAGACTATATATGACTAACTTTGGGGGCTCAATAAAACAGTCTGAGCTCTACTCTCAGTGGTCACAGTTGGTTAAGGCTAGAGTGGAACGTGCAAACATACACATCTAACAAGTTCGGATTTATATGGAACTTGATAGTCTGGAGACAGATTTGTTTAAAAAGTAGCATTTCAGCTCTCATTTCACATCTAAGAAATCAGCATCTATATTTTTCAAACCTTCCTGTGTAACCTTGATGCATAGTAAAATTTATAGAACACATGAAAAAAATGCCATCAAGAGGGATTAAGGGTTGAAACATAAATATTTGGCAGGAGATAACATTGTTATAGGAATATTCAAACTAGATACAAGCATAAGAGTTTCTTATTTTCAGTAATGATAGAGAAGTAGTTAAAGACATGTATTTAATGTACTAATTATTCAACTACTAATGACCAGAGAGATGAATGATGAGATTTTCACCTACCTTTTGTAATGAATTATATATGTGATCATGATCATCATGCCATTTCATGAAAAAATGGAAGGTTATTCTGGAAAGAGATGGAAATATAGTTTTAAACATTTTTCCACAAATTTCTTATGCCCAAAGGAATATTTAGGAATAGACAATTTCACAGAGATGGAATCAGATTAGTACATTCCAGTGCCTAAGGAGAGGGGTAAATGGAAAGTGTCTTCTAATTGGTAAAGAATTTGATTTAAGGGGGATGTAAATATGCTAAAATTAGACAGTGGTAATTGTTGTGCAATTGTGTGAATGTTCCTAAAACAACTTATAGGATGAATTTTACAGTCCACAAGTTACATTTTAAAATGTTGCTATAAAAAGAAATTAAAACCTTTTTTAGCCACCTCAATATCATCGATAATGGTGGATTTTGTCACAAACAGTAAAAGTCTATGTCACTTTCATCAATATCTAAATTACATCTTCAGCTATTCTTACCAGAATGTCTATCTTGCCTGTGTGTGCAAATTCTGATGATGGGTACCTGTTAACTATGTTATGAATGTTATTTAAATCCCAGAACAGAATTTAAATGTGTGATCTCAGAAAACCTTTGAACTTCACTGTTAATATAATGAGTACTTTTAGGATAAATATTCTCCCACTAATGATTCCTATATGTATGCCATGATGTAGAAAATCTATAAATATTGCCATTATTCCCCAATGGGGTATTATAAGCTTCTCTATTGTCCTAGAAATGTTTGCTAACTAGTATCAGTATTATCAGCTGAAGGACCATTTTATATTCTAATATATTTTAATAATGTTAGAAATGAAGTTAATGAAATCAATAAATTAATGATCTATATTCCTATATTGTATGCCTTGTAGAATTTCTGTATAATATACTACTTAAAAGAATGTATTTAAATGAATTATATATGTGTTGTTTATTCTTTTTTAAATTTTTGCACATGTTGGCTATTCTTTATTCTGAGTAACATCTAAAATCAAATGTTAAGCTGGACCCAGTGGCTCATGCCTGTAATCCTAGCTACTCAGAAGTCTGAGATCTGAGGAGGATGACAGTTCAAAGCCAGCCAGGGCAGAAAAGTTTGTGAGACTCATCTCCAATAAACTACTCAGCAAAAGCTGGAAGTAGGTCTGTGATTCAAGTGGTAGAGGTGCTAGCCTTGACTACAAAGACGCTCAGGGACAGCACCTACCCCTTGAGTTCAAGTCCTAGGACCTCCAAAAAATCAAATGTCATACTCTTTAGTAAACTAATTTTATAAGACAAAAAAGCACAGTATATTCTACTTCAATCATTCTCCCTTAATTTCCCATCATCTTATAAATATTCCAAGTGGTAATGCTTCATTGGTTGCTTATGCGGTAGTTTTCTTTGATAGCATTGTTAATAAACTAGCTTTTAAACAAAGCAATTGTTTCTTAATATATTAATTGATTTTTGATGTATTAAAGAAATGTCCCCAAGGAACACAGAAGCAGCACACAATATCTCAGTGAAAACTGCATAAAGGTGATACATCTACACTAGAATTGTCTTTTATTTCCTTTATTTCTTTCTTTTCTGTAATTATAATTATTGAGACAAAAGCTAACAATTTCATTTTCATGACGGCAGTGATGATAGTGTTTTTAGATAAAATAAATAATCTCAAAGATTATTGATGCAAGTAAATTAATTGAGGTCACTTCACCTTTAACAATTCCTTGATTTTTTTTTTTTTAAACCATTGTGAGGCTTGAACTCTGGGCCTAGGTGCTGTCTCTCTCAGCTCTTCAGCCCAAGGAGAGCACTCTACCACTTGAGCCACGGCACCACTTCCGGTTTTCTGGTGGTTAATTGGAGTCTCATGGACTTTCCTGTCCAGGCTGGCTTTGAACCTTGATCTTCAGATCTCAGCCTCCTGAGTAGCTGGGATTACAGGCATGAGTCACCGGCGCCCAGCTCAATCTGTTTTTTTCGTTTTTTAACTTGCTTTTATGATCTATGTTCTGGAACACACTTGATAATTACATTTATAGTATGTATTTAAATAGGTAGAGAGAAAATAAATGTGTTTCCATCATCAAAGGTATCTTAGAAACTTAGAAATACTTTTTGTATTTGCTGAATCTGAAAATTTTTATATTGAAATACAATACTTTTACTTTAGGTTTTCACTTCCAGTCGCTGCAACAGCTGAAAATTGCATTCTAACTATCTATCCCTATCTGGCTGCTCATATCGATAAGCAGCAAGTTATTTTAAAAGATGGTAAGTCACTTTCTTTTACTATCATTGTGTAGGTTCTTCTTATAAGGCCAATGTATAAATATAAAGTGAATTAAAAATTAACATCAGTAGATACAGCTTAGTGATAGCGAATTCAGCTAACATGTGGAACACCCTGGGATTGTCTCCTAGCTCAATCACTCACTCACTCAATCAACCAACCAGTTTAATAGCTTTTTCTCTAACATCAGTCATTGACAGAAGTTATGCTTATCAAAGTCTCCTAATCTCAAAAGTTGGCAATTAACTTGAATTTACACAAAAATAAATTATTACAGAAAAAATAAAGAACTCTACATAGAAGTCAAATGAGGTGTCGAGTATATAGGCTGGTGTACAGATTATTGCTGATCCTGGTATTTTACAATGACTTCATAGAAGAGATATCATTTGTTTAGAGTTTGATAACTCTCTGTAGGCTTCCACACACCATAGTTTTCTTGGGCTCCTCAAACCACTCTTGAATGCTTCTTAGCATCTTTCATAATTTTTCCCTTCAATATGTTCTTTTTAATCTTTCCATTTATTGGAGGTCTGACCTCTTGTCCATTGTCCCTTCTATGGCTTCAATTATAATTTATGTTCTATATGTCCAACACAAATCCACTCAGTGTTTAACTGCCTTCTTGTTTCTGAGGTACTTCTCCTGCACCAGCATGGGCCAAATTAACTCCCCTTATATACATCCCTATAGATGTATATAAAATATTGAATACTCTCCTTTCTCTCTTCAAAAAGCTATCCTTCACACTCTGGCCACAGGGATACTTATAAACTGAAAGTTGTATCTGGTCATTTTCATATATAAAATGCATGGTAGCACATCGTTGCAATTCCAGCACTCAGGAAGCTGAGTCAGAAGAATCATAAGTTTGAGGTCAACCAATGCCATATAGGAAGTCTTTCTGCAAACAAACAAAAAAAACAACTCAAAAACTTAGCACAGAATATGGTAGAAAATAAGATGAATCCAGTAAGACCCAATGTCATGGACATGGCCAAAGGCTTTATTCTCATTTCTGGAAATCTATCTCTCTGTGTTTACCACAGTAAGTATCTGTGAGTTCTTATGAGATGTACATTTTGCTGATGATCTTTCTTGTGATTAGAACATTTTTTCATATAGGATCCTTCATATCTGCACACAGAAGAAGATGTAAGAGATTTGTATTTCCGTTGTGCAATTGTAGTTCTGTGCAATTCTGGCCATGGTCCTTCCCAATTTTTGAATTATCATGCTTATTATCTATATCCCTTTCCAGATATTTACATCTAAAAAGCCTGGGGGAGAATGAAATTGTTTATCTTATTTTCCTTATGTTCATGCTTCACCAGTGTTTGGAGGATAAAAATATGTATTCATTCAATATTATATATTTCTAAATTATGATATTATATATTTCTAAATTATGAACCATTAAGAAACTAATAAACATTTTCACAAATGGATTACATTTTGTGTAGTATATTTTGAGCATCAAAAATATTTTAAAGATGGCTATGTAGCAAGCATGCTGGCATATTCCTATAATCCTAGCTTCTTAAGACTCTGAGGTAGGAGATCATGAGTGAAATTCAGCCTAGGCCCACGATCTTCCTATTTTTGCCTCCTGGGTAGCTGAGATTGCAGATGTAAGCCACTGCTCCTACTTGTTGGTATTTCAGAAAGTCAACTAGGAATACTTTTCTTAGTAACCTTTATCAAATATCCCCTTTTGAAGACTATATATAAATAATTTCAGTTGTTTGGTAAAATGTCTTAAACACATCTATTTATACTAAAGATAAATACTGTTCTTTCTTCAATAATTTTTATATATGATAATAAATTTTATTCAATTTAGGGAACCATTATACCTATTATGATAGTTTTCGTATTTGTTAGCATATTTGATATGTAATGGATGCTTATATTTTCACTTTATCTTAGATAACTATAAAATACAGGTTAATTAATTGGATCATGAATTCCACAAATGATTGATTGCTTTACTTTGGCCCAATATGTCATTTCTAGAAAAGGATGCAAGTCACCAAAGGGCAAGAAGCAGCTTTATGATTCCCTACCGAGACTATAAACTATACTCTTCGGGTTCAATAAGGACGTCCATTGCTCCTAAATATAGTGAGGCTGAAATAACGAGGGGAAATCTTTTTGTTGGTATGTGACAAATGTATAGATTATTTCTCAAATTGAGTCTGTGATGTTATCTGCATATTTTAATCTAAAATTTGTGTTTTTTCAAGGAAGAAATTCATGAAACAAACTAACATGAATTCATCTTAGTCTTAAATGTATTATCTGCTTTGGTAGTTCTCTTCAATGCAATGATCACTACCAAAAGTTCTCTTGGATCACAGAGGTCTTAGGGTCACAACACTCTTTCCTAAACTGTAATATGTACTATATAGTTCTATTTCTTAAGTGAATTAGTACAAAAATGGAAAAATAGTGATTGAATAAGTACTGCAGTAATATTTAGCTAAAATGTTAATTAACGTGTGGTCCCCTATCAATTTGATTTGACATTCCTGGTACACTCTGTGCAGTTTGAGAGCTACAAAACTAGAAATGAATCTAAGGCTACTTCTCTGAGAAAGAAGTGAGCAAAGATCTGAGATGAATATCATCTTCAGTGCACTGTTCAAATATTCATCTCATTAGAAGGAATATTAGCAGGAATGGGCAGGAACTTTTATTAATATATTTTTATTGTAAAGATAATGTTACAGTTACTTGAGTAAGGTAATAAGGGCATTTCCTATGGAGCATTGTTACGCCCTCCTTAGTTTTTCCCCTATCATCCCTTCCCACCGTCCCTTCTCCCTCCCCCACCTCGCCCACCCAAAGTTGTAAAGTTTGTTTTCAACATATGTCTTGTACATCTCATTGTTATAATGGGCCAACCTGTATCCTTGTTTCAGCATTTTGCGATTTCCCTTCCCCTCCCCAAAAATGTATATACAAGATGCAGAGCACCAGAATCAAATACAGTGAAAATGGGTTATACCATGGGGTAGAACATATAAAAGAAACAACGAAATCACATGGTACATTAAAAACAACAGCAACAAAGATAAAACCTTTGTGTCCCTATCTTAGGGTTCATTTCACTTAGCATCATCTTATATGGTTATATGTACATAGCTTCTGACATTTTCTGCTTGTCTGGTAAGATTGTCCTAGATGTATATTAGCTTTTTGAAGAGTTCCAGGGGTATTGCAAATAAGAGAGAGAGTTGACTAATGGGATTACATCAAACTAAAAACTTCCTGCCCAGCAAAGGTCATAGTTACTAAACTAGAAAGAAGTCTAGCAGACAGGGAGAAGAGGTTTACCAGCAGTATATCTGACAAAGGCCTAATATCCAAAATATACAAGGAGCTTAAGAAATTAACCCCACAAAAAACTAATAAACCGATCAATAAATGGTCAAAGGAGCTTAAGAGAGATCTCAGGAGAAGAATGTCATATACTCACATGAGGAAATACTCAACATCCCTGATCATAAAGAAAATGCAACTCAAAACAAAATTGAGATTCCATCTCACCCCAATTAGACTGACCACATCAAGAATTTGAACGATAACAAATGCTGTCAGGGAAGTGGAGAGAAGGGATCCTTATTGTACTGTTGGTGAAAATGCAAACTAGTATAACCACTTTGGATGACAGCTTTGAGATTCCTGAAAAAACTAAACATAGAACTTCTCTATGTTCCAGCCATAGCATTCTTGGACATCTACTCAGAGCATTACAAGTCAGGATATGATAAAGACATTTGCACATCTATTTTCATTGCTGAACTATTCACAATAGCCAAGTTACAGAAAGAGTCCAGATGCCCTACAATAGATTAGTGGATTGAAAAATGTGCTGCCTATACACAATGGTATTTTGCTCATCCATTAGAAAGAGTAATTTTATGTCATTTTCAGGGAAATGGATGGACCTAGAACAAATCATGTTAAGCGACATAAGTCAAGCTCTGAGATACAAAAGGGCACGTTTTCTCTCATATGTAGAAGCTAAATCTAAAACAAAAATGGACTCACAACTTATTCACAGCTTATGCATTTACAAACAAATAGAATAAAGGAGGATACACTTAGGGGAGGAACCAAAAGGCATAAGTGCTCTCAATGTCTAAAATGGTACTCACCAAAACAAATTTTAGGAAATGGAAATATGTTTTTGTTGTTGTTGTTACTGTTGGTGGTATTATTTGTTTTTGTTTTTGTTGGTTTTTTTCCTTTTTTGTCCTTTTTTGGGGGAGGAGGGGGCAAATGGGAGCACAGGAATGGAGGGAGGCAAGGTGAACAAATGTAGTCATGATATTCAATATATATTATGTAAATAATGAACTATGCACCTTATGGGCAAAGACAGGAGGGGGAAAAAGGGAAAGTGAAGGAAGGAGTGACATTGTCCAGGAAGTATTGTACTTACTACTTGATTTATGGAATTGTAACCACTTTGTACAACTACTTAATAATAATAAAACCCCATCTCCCTAGATATGAGTAATATTGAAAAATTCCATTTCATTGAAAGCCAACTGAAATAATATGACTTTTTAGTAAGCCTGGACATTTTCATTATTATGTACATAAATATTCTAGAAAAAATATAAAACCATTTTCTATTTTGAGACTCCTTATAACCCCAAAATACTCTGTTATAACAAAATATTTGGTTTAGACACAATTTTGAATATTTTTTTCTATAATTCTTCAATATGAAGCTTAAATTTTGTATAGTAAAAATAGCTAAAAAAAACTTTCCTGGCATTTTCTATGAAAAGACTTGTAATTAAAATTGAAATGCTATATTTGGGGAAATATTTTACTTACCACTATGACAAGAATATAATGTAATTCTTTACTGAAATATCTTAATAAGGATTTTGACTATTTGAAATAAGAGTGTTTTCATTATTTAACCTGAAGAAATCCATTCAGAAGTCTTTCAAAATCATAGAATACTTTATATAATGTACTTCACTTCCATAAATATAAATAGCAATTGCTTTCAGACTACTTTTCTCTATCATTAAGTAATTATTTTTATACATAAATGTGAATTCTAGGTATGGAGATAACACATGAACATATGAGACCGAATGTAGGTGATCGAATGAGGAAAACATATGAAAGATCAGTGGCAGCCGAAGAGAAAAATGAACAATTCTTTCTACCTGAGGAAGGATCAAAGGCGCATGCATTTTTCCAGAAGATTGTGCATGCAGCCCAAAATTGGTTCAGTCTCTTCGGCTGGCCAGGAGGACCTCATTTGATAAAGATTCCAGAGACTGTTAGAAGGTGACATTTATGTGCTTTTCTAAACTGTGTTTTTCACCAAGCTATAAAGTATAATCAATTCATTGGCATAATTTTACATGAAACATAATATTAAGCACTTGAACTGAGAAGTATGATGGGATTATTAAGAAGAGTAAAAATACAAACATAAATCTTTTATCCCACACTTTTTACATAAAATATTTCCATTTTATTTTAGTTCATAAAAATTAACTTTATTAGCATGTATTAAATTAATACATGAACAAACATCAAAGTTGATTCTGTGACTGAGACTGCTATTAGTAATGCTACAATATACATGGATGTGCAGGTATCTCTATGGTATGCTGACTTTGATTGCTTTGAGTATGTACCCAGAAGTTGTATGCTCTATGTATCAGCTTGCCCCTTTACAGTACAGTTTAATAGATTTTGTCTGTTCATTGTATTCTAGAGGTCTTGGATATTGTAGCCATGATTATTTGCCATTTTGTCTTAATTGCTCTCTGAATATAAAAATTCTTCAACATTGTTTCAATCGCTGATTTTTTTTCACTTTCCGGGTGTACGTTATTGGTGATGTTTTCATTGAGCTTTTTATTTGGCTTATTGACCTCTGCATTTTCATGATTTCCATATCTATGAGGTGTTTTGTGGGATTATTTTTTTTGCGGAATCTCTTGAGTTTTACTAAATTTCTCATATGAGCCTTGAATTGACTTCTTCAGTTCATTTGATTACTTCAATACTCTTTGAGGTCATGGGTCATTTTAAAATTAGACTTTTGGTATATTTTTATTAAGCTATTCAAAATATTGAAACTTGAAAACAAGTTTTGTTGCTTTTTCATATTTACTTTTCTATGTTATAATTGGTACATTTGCTGAGACAAAAATCTTTTTTGGTTGTATATGGGGCTCTTATTGAGTGATCTTCTCTTGAGGGCTCCATCCCGGGTAGCACTCCGGGAAGAGAAAACAAACTGCTGTAAGGGCAATCATACCAAAACATTTAATTGGAAAGTATCATATGAAGGAAGGAAGGAAGGGAGGGATTGAAGGAGGAAAGGAATGTAGGATTGTAATGAAGCAGGGAGAGAGGCAGAGAAATGGAACTTCACTTTGTAGTTATGTTATGTAATTATACTCTATTAAAACCAGTTCATAGCAGCCAGAGCAACAGGGTGCAGACCATTTGTTGAGTTGCAAGATATGAAGATAGAATTAAAAGCAAATTAAGTAATTTTCTATTATTGATGAATCTTTAGTGTGGTAGTGTGTATGCATTACTGCAGCCCTTTAGGTATTATCTTTAAAGCCTTTTCCAAAATATCAAGATGGAAATAGCTATTGAAAAATATAATACTATTTTTGCTTGAGAAATTTTTTTTTTTTTTGTCGGTGGTGGGGCTTGAACTCTGGGCCTGGGCGCTGTCCCTCAGCTCTTCAGCTCAAGGCAAGCGCTCTACCACTTGAGCTACAGCACCACTTCCGGTTTTCTGGTGGTTTTATTGGAGATAGGAGTCTCACGGTCTTTCCTGCCCGGGCTGGCTTTGAACCGCGATCCTCAGATCTCAGCCTCCTGAGTAGTTAGGATTACAGGCGTGAGCCACCAGCGCCCGGCTTGAGAAATTTTTAGGAAAAGCATCATTAACATTATATTCCACTTTTAAATTCTGAGAATGAAGATTTTCTCCAGATACAACCTCTAAGCAACTGATTATAAAATCATCTTATTATGCTGGAAATACCACTTAATTTGAGAAGAGTGATTATAATACATATGGGCGTTATTCTGGTATTCCACTCTAACACATACCTCTCAGCAGCTGCAACACACCAATACGGAATCTCTTTAGGAAGGCTTCCAGGTGTTTTAAAGCTATTTTCCCAAAGGGCTTCTGGTTTACTTAAAGTACACAAAATCTGATAAAACGTCACATTTTCAGTAAAATAATTGATCATTCACTATGAGATTTCCAAAAAGTATAAAATATATTCTTTCTATTTTTTCCATTTCCTCTTCAGCATAATGGACATGATAATACTTACCCTATAGGGATGCTGTAATATCGCAACATGTAAGAGATCCCTTTAAATTGTATTAGAACAAAGCTTAGGTTGCAAATGCTTGGCAAATGTTAATTATTATTCATAAATTTCCTAAGGATTATGTTGTTTATTGCTTTTTTACCTTTTTAAGAAAGCTTTTACTTATATACAAGAAGTTGCAAAAACAACATGGATGATATGTATTCTCTCTGCCACAAAAGGTTACAGCTTACATGACTATAGTATAATAACAAAATCAGGACTTTGACTTTACTAGAATTTTGCATACATCATTTCATCTTTTGTGTAGATTTGTGTATCCAACCCCCAATCACTATACAGAACTATTTCATCTCCACAGTTATCTTCCCTGTTCTGTATCTAGGTTCCTCTTCAATATCTAGGTTCCTCTTCAAAAGACTAAAGTATCCCTTTAGTCTTTCTTTAGTGCCTTCTGAATGTCTCATCTATTATTAGGTAAAACAACTCATGCTATATTTCTGAATTTATAAGTCTTTGTCACTAGTCCTTCTATTTGTTAGTTGAGAGCTTAACATTTATCATTGCATGCCTGTACAGATTTTATTTCATTAATCATATTTTAACTTCTTATGGAGGATTTTCCCTCACCCAAGTTTTATTTACTTCAGGATTTTTACTTTCTATTTTCTAAAGTTTACCTTTGTGTGAACATATTTGAGTGTGAAAGTGGCGGAGGGGGCGGGGGAGGAGAAGAGTGAACACTTTGAGCTACTACCAAGTTCATTGATAAATTTAATTTTAAAATAATGTCATCTTCATTTCTAAATGTTCCACCCATTTATACTGTCAATAGGGACCAAGAAAATAGAAATTTGTTTTTAGCTTCAAACTATGTGTTAAAAAGAAAGTGATTGTAATAACTTATTAGTGCTGAGGTTCTGAATTCTTTTTACCATTATTTGAAGAATAAAGCATTTTATAATTTTTCTTTTCAAAATAGTTTCATATTTTACTGTGGTTTGCTTTGTGATAGTGGTAAGTGGTAATTTTTTCTCTACCTAGAATGGTGGATAATAAGTACATTGAACTTTTGCCATGAGTACATTTTTTATCTTCAACATACATCAATTTTCATTTAATATCATAATATTATAAAAGAGAAAGAATAAGGTGAAATTATCAAGCTCTTACTTATAATATGTAGATATTATAAGTGGAATATGCGTTGGCGGAATATGCATACAGGTAGACATTTTAAAAGATTGCATAGTTTTTACATCTTAATTTGTTTTTCAATGGGCAATTAAGTGATATGATTAGCAATATTACCTTTTCTTCTAGAAACCATCAGAAGACTGAGCTGTGAAATTCTATTAATTTTTATTTGCTAGAGGTACTTTGAAGACCCAGCCTATTTCTTCTGGACGTTTTAAATCATGAATAAAGTACATGTGAATAGAAACCTGCTAACCTTCCAGTGTATGCATCACATTCTCAATATATCACAGGCCTATCATGACCCTAGCTATGCTACCAAAGCTCCTGTACAAAGAAAACGACTATCTTGAATTTAGGCTTGATTTCATTTTTGATAATTTTTGTCAGATATCCTAAAGCCAGTATTACCCCTGTGGTACAAATACAACTATGAAACTAGCATTTAAATCAAGACATACGAGAAAAAAAATAGCATCGCCTAATTCTTCCTACCCTATTGCTAACTTCCTTTCTCTCTTTGAAGAAGATATCTGTTTGTATGAATTATAACATCACATAAGCTTCATATAAGGAATCACAGTTTGTGTTTCTAAGTGTCTGAACCTTTTGATCAATATTATATTCATGTGATTTATACACATACTTACATGTAGAGGTAGTTTACATTTAATGGAGTACTCTAGGCCATTGAATGCATTTACTACAGTCTCCTCTAGAAAGATAGTTGTACTGTCCTAAGACTTTTCTATTATGAACAATTATGCTTTGAAATATTTAGTACATATTTTGATGTATATTTCTGAAAGGCATATGAGATAAAACTGCTATATCATAAGGTAGAAATATGATCATCTTTAGGAGATATTTATAATCCATTTTTCAAAAGATTTCTTCTAATTCTCACTCACAAAAGCAGTCTCACAAAAGCAGTACATACACTTCCCTGTTCTGTTCATTCTAAGAAATACAAATTGTCAGCCTTCAGCATTGACTATTAGGTGGATGTTCTTGGAACTGAAATTTTGCTGTTACTGAGAGGTTTCACCTGCTCTGACCTATTTGAATATACTGTCATCAAGTATATTGATGACATTTCCCACTGTAAAAATGTGGATCCTCTTTATTCCTCATTTGCAGGAATTTTGTGTGTTTTGCATCTGTTGTTTACTAGTTGTGTGCATTATAAGCATTCTCTCTAGTGTATTCTACTTTATGAAAGATTATTAGCTTTGTCTTTTTCTTAGGCAGGAAGAAATTTCCTTTGTCCCCCCGCCCCAGGAGCTTTGCTGTTTTTTCTCTTATGACTAATATTTGATCCTTTCCAAATTTATTCTTTGTAACATGATATGAAATAAAGATCAACATATATTTGATTATTCCTTGTTTCTAGTGGCAGGAGATTCAATACCATTTATGGTATTTATTCAAATGATTTGATACTATTGTGGGGTTTGTCTAGTGAACTGAACATTATTCTTCATATTCCCTATTCATTCTACAATGCTTCCGTTCTAATAAATCAAGCATTCATGTATTTGTGAACATTTGTGATTCATTTTTTATAGTACTAGGGCTTGAACCTGGAACTTCATACTTGCTAGACAGGCACTTGACCACTTGAAAATATTTCTAACTCTTTGTGTTTTTCCTATTTTTTATTTTTTTTCTGTGCTCAGTGAGTTTTAGTAACTTGGATCACTCACATAATTAGTAAGTAACAAGTACAGAAGTCAAACACCCTTTTTATTCTCAAACTAGTTTATTCACAATTCAACCCTATGTGTTTAAATGAGATATTAGATCTTTCTGGGCATATTTAAAAATTGAATTTGGACAATCAACCCTAACAGAGTGAGGGGAATTTTTAGAAATTTTGCTTAGTTGGTTTTAATAGTATTTCATTTAGTTATTGAACATTGAGCATTCGTTCTCACAATATATCATTTCAAGATATTTCAATTTATAACCTTTTTTCTATAGGGATGTTCAAAAAATGCGAAGCTATTCAATGAAGACCCCTAAGAAATACAACAAACAGGATGATTTCTTTAAATATAATAAGACTGTTTATGATATGATCTACCACCTGAGTGGAAGAATGCCACCTGGAATTAATATAAGCCAATCTTTACCATCGGATGATACTGAAAGAGTGATTCAGCTTCATAAGCAACACTCTTCACTCCTGAGCTTCATAACGTAAGAAATGTGTTCATTTAAGCATGTAATTATTATGCCCAATTAGATGGATGGATTGATGGATAGATTAGTGGATGGATGGATGTATAATATAATCTTTGAAATTTTTTGTCTTATTTTTAAACAATTTATTATTATATGCCCTATAATACACACAATAGAAAAATATGTTCTTGTAACAGAAAATAAGCATTTTATGATCGTTTTTATACTTACATTTTATCTTTGTAATTCAAGGAAGTTATTTTCACGCTTTACCATACATCTAAATCACCAGGAGGTCTTGTTAAAATGATTTTCTGGCCCTTATCATAGAGTTTTATGATGGCTATTTGCATTTATTACAATTTCCTAAGTCCTGAACCATAATGTTATTTTGAAAATTCTTATGTAAGACACATAATTTCATAAATCAACTTAACAAAAAAGGGAAAGAATCTGCTTAACTTTGATCCTCTGTTTACTGTTAGTATCATCATATATTGTAGAATCTGTGAAATTTTAGTTTATATAGTTAAAGTCTATAATGCCAGGTAAAATGTTTCACACATGATTGATAATAACCTATTGTAAAAATAATTATGATCATAATTCTGTATTACTCTAATAGATGAATTGACAAATGGCCAAGAAATGGGTAAGCAATGTTAACTGAAGTCTGAGGAATTGGATTGTTATTGTTGCTCAGATGGCAGAGTGCCTCCCTAGCAAGCACAAGATCCTGAGTTCAAATACCAATACAAAAAAAACAAGTCAGAGCATAGGGTTTCTGAATTTATATTGCTTCTTTGTCCTGCATGTCAGTATTGTTACTGAAATTCCCACCTTCACAGGCTCTATTCTTATTTGCCCTTCATCTTCCTTCTTCACTAAAGTAGCATTAGTTACTTACAATTTTTATATGAGTGCACTTTCTTTTTTGCTTTTTCTGTTTGATATTCTCTGTTTTAGCAAAAAGTTAGATGAAAGAGTAAGCTAAGGACTCTTAAATCAAAAATAAATTATTTAGCATTCAGTTTTAAAAGTTACAAATAAGGATTTTTGAACCCCCAACAGGGGTACTATTAAAAGTTAGACATAGATTAAGCAAAATATTTCTTTCATTTGCTGAGTTCTTATTACCATATAGTCAAAACTGCATTAATTTCTTTATGGTTTGGGATCAAGCTAGAACTTTGAATTATGACCCAGGTAGCCAATGAAGGTTGCTATGATCGGATGCTAAAGATATTCCATATGAATGAAAAATATTTGATTGCAACAGTTATAGGGAACATCTTGATCCTTGGTGAGACTTAGAGAAAAGTCCAAGTCTGCATCTTAGAATCAACAGCATATGTTCACTTGACAAGTAGGTTCCAATCACAGAGACAACGTTGACAGAAAAATCAATGATCCAGAAAAGTCATGCTCTGCATATATAGGTATCCTTGTCTGATATAAGCCTTGTCTCATGCATGGACAATTCAGATGCTACAGGCCATATGCAATTTTCAACCCTCTTTTATCAAACAATAACAAACCAAAAATATATAAAAGTAGAACACAGTTTTAGAAGGTATCATGCATATACGGAAGCTTATCATTAAAGATTTATTTACTTGAGAATGAATCTTCTCTTTCCAGATATCTCCTCACATTAGAAGTTGGGGAAGAGGAGCTGAATTTTTTTTTTTTAGCATTTATCACAAAGATCAGAATTACACCAAACTGTTTGGCTTGTAAGACACAAAGAAAGAAACAAAGACATATCCCTAGCTCTCTACATTCAATGTTAGTGGACAACATTGCATTGATTATACAAAATGGTATAAACATCATTTTCCATTCCTCTGTATCAAAATTGAGTTGTTCAATTTCACTAACATGTGAGTTTCATGAGATATTTATCTCTTGTCATTGAAACTGAGGATTATTGATAGCACAGAATAAGGTCAATTATTTATTTTCCTTCACAGATATTTGCCTTTTGAGTTTGTGTCTCATAGGGAATAAAACTTTGAAATTAGGTCTCAGAATAGTCACATAAATTTTATGAGAAAAAACTGTAATACAAAAATTTAACCGAAAAGTAGTACAAGTAAAGGACTTACATTTCAAGAGAATGTAAGCAATGAAAGAGGATCATATTAGAAAAGGTAGACTATATATTATGCATTTTAAACATAAAAACCTTATTAAATTGTGAATCTGTAAATAGATTTGTATTTCATTATACCTGTATTCATTTTCTAAGATGGACTGGGTTGCTTAAAGGCCAGAAATTTATTTTCTCACATTTTTAGAGGCTGGCATTCTAAGGTCTTCAACTGAGGCGACATTCCTTGGTTTGCAGATGGCTTTCACTATATCTTCAAGGATTTTTATCCTCTCTGTATAATGTCCTTGGTGCCTCTCAGTGGGTTCAGATTTCTTCTTCTTCAAAGACAGCATCAAACTGGACTAGGGCCCACTATAATAATCTTATTGTTCACTTGACACATCTCTACAGAGCCACATCAGGACTTACTGGGAGTTTGGGTTTTCACTCGTGAATAAGATCTCATTCAGACCACTACAATAGCATCTGGGATTGTATTGTAAACATATAATCAGATGTGATAATAAATTTCATAAGGTTGTGTTTGCAGTAATCTGCATAATATTTCTTGTCTTTTTGCCATTAATTGTACTTTTGTCTAAATGCATATGTTGAAGGCCTTAATTCTGGGAATTAAGGAGAGAAGTTTTTTGTCGTTTTTGTTTTTGTTTTTTGTCCTTGTTGGGGCTTGAAGTCAGGGCCTGGGCATTGTCCCTGAGCCTCTTTGTGCTCAAGGTTAGCACTTGAGCGACAGCACTTCCGGTAGTTTATTGTAGATCAGGCTCTCATAGACTTTCTTGCCCAGGCTGGCTTTGAACCACCACCCACAAATCTCTGCCTCCTAAGTAGCTAGGATTACAGGCTTGAGCCACCAGTTGCAGGCTTGGAGATAAGATCTTGCAGGAGGTAATTGAGGTTTTAAGGCTAAAGGAGATAATAAATCCTTTTAAGAAGATGAAGAGATTACTTCTCCACCCCTTTCTTTTCCTCTCCATCTTCCAGCTTCCCTTTCTCCTCCCTTCTCCACTTAAGAGAAAAGAAAAGAAAAAAAAAACACAGTGAGATGGTAGCTATGTGCTAGAAAATAAAATTGTATTGTTTAAGCCAAGCTGCTTGCCCAAAGAATTTCATTATGGAAAACAAACACAGTGAATAATATCCTTTTATTTAATTTCACTTGTTTTTGACTTTTACACATATATGATATGATTAGTTTTATTTGAAAAAAATATTTTCACTTATTTGAATATTCAGAAACTTAATCTAGTAGAATATAAACATCAAATACCCTATATTGTAGCTGAAAACTAAGACGTTGTAAAAATATAAACTATAATTATTCTGATTTTTATTTCACTTAGTTTAAAGTAATTTACTCATTCCTCAAAAATAAATATATCTATATAAAACAACATACAATTCCTTATGGCTAAATTTAATTTAATGTTTTTTAAGGTATTTTTTATTGTCAAGGTTATATACAGAGGGGTTACAGTTACATAAGTAAGGTAATAAGTACATTTCTTGTCAAACTTGTTACCACTTCCCTCATTTTTCTCCTACTCTCCCTTCCCTCCACCCCCAAGTTTTTATATATTATCTTTGCATAACTTCATATTCTTCTTTATTTAGGTCTGTTTTAGAACTTATTTAATGAAATTTCATCTAAGAATGTACTATTTCAAAGTAGCCAAGTGATCCTGAAACAGTGCACTGAACTAGAATAAAAGAATCAAATTAGATTCAGGCTTCAATTCCAGCTCATTTGTATTTCTATAACCTTGCATACTTATTTCACCTGCTTTGAACTCCAAGTTCAACATTTATAAAGCTGAGGATGAGAATTCCCAAACTTATTTGGTTGATAAAATGTACATCATTATAAGTCATTATTATTGTTACTTTAAATTCGGTGCAGTATGGGCTAAGGCTTTTGTATGTTAAGGTGCTTTCATAAAATTATTTCAATATGATGTACATTACTGTAGCAATACACTGAAATGACTTATGATACCATGTTTACTAGAGTATTTTAATAAATTTCTATTAGAAAATAATATTTAGCTTTTATAAGAAATGTCAGAAAGTCATTGTGTGCCAGATATATCCTCAGTTTATTAGATAGACTAGGAAATTTGTTGAAATGTATGTTTTTTTTTTGTTTTTTGTTTTTTTTCTTACTGGTCATGGGGCCTGAACTCTGGGCCTGGGCGCTGTCCCTCAACTTTCAGCTCAAGGCTAGCACTCTACCACCTGAGCCACAGCACCACTTCTGGCTTTTTCTGCTTATGTGGTGCTGAGGAATTGAACCCAGGGCCTCATGCATGCAAGGCAAGCACTCTACCACTGAGCC